TTTGCAAGTAAATTTAATTGTTTTCTCCCTGTATATGGTTATTTATATTCAGGTGTATTCAAAATTCCTGATAACATTATTCATAGATGGGGCCATTGAAGAATCGCAGGTCCGTGGACCCGGTCCATGGAGGGGGTCCATGGAGAGGGTCCATGGACCCGGTCCATAAAGGGGGTCCATGGACCCGGTCCAGACAAGGGGTCCATGGACCGGGGGTCCATGTTTTGTACTTTCCCGACAAAAATCTATGAAAACAGTAAATTTAGTGCGCCACAATCCCTAGCAGTATTCCTAGCAATATCCCTATATCCCAGTGGTTCTGCATCATCAGTTCACAATTTTATTTTAAGTCCAACAGGTGGGTTTCACTTAAAATTATCCCTTTCAAAAGCATTGTAATACTTTCCCTTACGAAAATTTCCTATAGGAATTCCTATAGGAAATCAAAATTCCTATAGGAATTCCTATAGGAATTGAAAATTCCTATAGGAATTCCTATATGAATTGAAAATTCCTATAGGAATTCCTATAGGAATTGAAAATGGTAAAAAAATTCCTATAGGAATTCCTATAAGAATTGAAATTTCCTATAGGAATTGAAATTTCCTATAGGAATTCCTATAGGCATTGAAAATTCCTATAGGAATTCCTATAGGAATTAAAATTTCCTATAGGAATTCCTATAGGCATTGAAAATTCCTATAGGAATTCCTATAGGCATTGAAAATTCCTATAGGAATTCCTATAGGAATTGAAATTTCCTATAGGAATTCCTATTGGCATTGAAAATTCGTATAGGAATTCCTATAGGAATTGAAAATGGTGAAAAAATTCCTATAGGAAAAAATATTCCTATAGGAATTCCTATAGGATTGGAAAATGGCTATAGGAATTCCTATAGGAAATGAAAATTCCTATAGGATTTGAAAATGGTAAAAAAAAAATCCTATAGGAAATAAAAATTCCTATAGGAATTCTTATAGATTTGGAAAATGGTGGGAAAAATTCATAGCCTATACCACTATGGCCTGATACATGCATGGGTATAAGAACTTTACTTATATAAAAAAATATACAGATAAATATAATTTACGAAATAACTCCTTCCTACAGGAATTTTTATTTCTTAAGGAATTTTTTCACCATTATCATATCCTATAAGAGTTCTTATAGGAATTTTAATTTCTTATACAACTACACTATTCCTATATCGGATTTTACTCATAGACATTTATTAATAAAGAATTTAATACTAAGACTATTTATTTTCTAAGATTAAATGAAAATTACCGCAATGTGCGCGACTGACAGACTGGTGTCTAGTTTTCTTGCCACGCGCGCAAAGCATCAAGGGATAGATCATCACACCTCCGATATTTTTTCAAGTCAGTGTTTGTCAATGGTTTATGTGCAAAATAGAACTATTTTTGATGGGATTCAACTGGATTTTCACTAGTAATACATCAGGGATGTTTGCATAATGTTCAGGTATGAATAAGTTTATATTTCATTTATAATAAAGCAAATTATAAAGGAAATACCTGCAATCTTCATTTGTGAAATTCGAGCATGTGGTTCGATAAAATTTAAATTTGCCGCGACAATATAAACCGAATTAGAATGCTGATATAAATATATTTATAGCATTTATACTTCAACAAATGCTACTATAAAAGTTTTATCTTTGAATCAGACTTATCCATGTTTATTAATATATTTGTATATCCCAAGTGCCAACTGTATATGCCAGATTAATTGTAAATTGTCAGCCATATTTAATGCATGCCTATAGAAAATTTAACTACTTGCTCAAATCAGCAGCAGTATTTATTCATATGTTTTGTTTAAATTAAACAATTTTTTCATTTTGAGAGATCTTGCACCAGTCAATGTATTAAAATCTGTTAGCCTTTAGACATGCTTTAGTGTAATGCCAGGAAAATTATCCAATGTTTTTCTATTAATTAAACATAACTATGTGATGGTATTCAAATTAACCAGACTCTCTGCTAGCTTACATTTCATGCTAACTTAATGTTAAGATGAATGTGCTCGACTTTCAGTACTTTTTTATTTTACCTTGTCTAACACCAGATCATTTTACTTGAAAGAGAGTGGACAACTTTGATAGGTTACCTTGCTGTCTCCCTGTGTTTTGTGTAAACTCATTAAGACCCAATTCACAAATTCACACTAATGTGCTTTATTTCAAAGCTCAATATTTTGCCCTGTTAATACCAGACTATTTTGCATAATTTGGCGTTAGCACATTTAGGGGCCGATTACATGGAGCATTTTCAACCCCGGGGTTGAACTCAGCCCTGTTTACCGGGTTGAAATTTCAGCCCTGTCTGTAATACAAAACTCTATCAAAATCAAACGCACGATTACATGACAAAATTTTTAACCCGGGGTTGAAATTTCAACCCCGGGGTTGAAATTTCAACCCTGCTTCAGCTAGCAGGGTTGAAATTTCAACCCCGGGGTTGAACTCAGCCCTGGGTTGAAAATTTTGTCATGTAATCGTTTCAACCCAGGGCTGAAATTATCATGACTTATTCGAGCATACGTGGTAGTGACTGTTTATTACAAGAAAACAAAATAAAGGCTTTTTTCTTCCGCGAATCGATGTCGAGAACGTATAGTATAACGTTTCAACCCCGGGGTTGAAATCGTCCATGTAATCGCAAAAAATTTCAACCCGGTTAACAAGGCTGAGTTCAACCCCGGAGTTGAAAATGCTCCATGTAATCGGCCCCTTAGATGCAATTCACCCTAACACTCAATCCCCACTTTCAGTACTTTGATATTTATCAGATGATTTTACTCATCAAAATGAATGTTGGTCATTGAAAGGTTAATAATTAACTGAAAAAGCTGCTGTGTGGCATATTTAGAAGCAATGTGCCCTACTTTTAGTACTTTGTTATTTTACTGTGTTTATTCTATTAAAGTGCTAGACTCTCCACTTAGAGTAAAATAATAAATTGGGTGCATTTGGGCATATTTAATGGGTTAACAAAACACATTGGAATGGTATACATAAAAAAAATGTATTTGTCTTTTTACAGCTACCAACAAAGTATGGATGTAAGGCCTCAGAGGTTCGTCAACATATGAGGACAAATATAAACAACATGGGAAAGTGTTGCAAAGTACAGAAAAGCAAACAAGAACAAGAACTTATTTGAGGACTATGTTTTGAGGCCAGTTTTAAACTTAACTTTAAATGTCAATTATGGTTATTACCTATGGTTTAGCCCATTAAGTGCCAGCGCTCTGACGAGTAAAATCGTCTGGCGTTAGACAGAGTAAACTATAGTAAAATAATAAAGTAGGGCGCATCAGGGCGCAATGTGATTCAATGGGTTAACTAAACACATATATAGGAATATAGGCTAGTTAACCCATTCGGAGCCAGCACTTCCCCTTGACATTCAAGTACAATTGTCTGGAGTTAGACAGAGTAAAATAGTCTGGCATTAGACAAAGTAAAATAGTTAGACAGAGTAAAATAATAAAGTAGGACGCATCATATGGCATTGCATTGAGGTAGAACGATTAATTTGGCACAATAGGTGAAAACTATAATTGATTTGTAATGTTTAGTATAACCAATTTCTCATATTAATTTTTATATTTGCAATATTAATTAGTATTTATTAATATTTATATCTATTTTTTGCATTAAAAAATTAAGAGTGATGAACAACATTGTCTGTCATTTACTATTATTTCATTTAGATTCTAGAATTTCTGCAGGAATAGCCTTATCTTATTAGAATAAATTATTTTCTTATAGGAGATTCCTATAATAATTTGGGACTAGACTTGAGAATTCTTATAGGAATTCTTCCTATTAAATTCTTATAGGAATTCCTGTAGAAAAAATTCCTATAGGAATTTTTCCTATAGGAATTCCTATAGGAAAAAATTCCTATAGGAAAAATTCCTATAAGAATTTGGGACAAAATTCCTATAGGAATTTTTCCTATAGGAATTTTTCCTATAGGAATTCCTATAGGAATTCCTATAGGAAAAATTCCTATAGGAATTTTGTCCCAAATTCTTATAGAATTTTTCCTATAGGAATTCCTATAGGAAATTTTCGTAAGGGTTATGAAATACAAAATTTCTATATTTATTTTATGTGGCCTAAATAACAACGCTGTTTCCAAGCAGCATATCTGTTTAGTGTCAAGATTTTGTGTTATAAATATTACATGTAAATCGACTATGAAATATTCTAGCTATATTTTTATCAACATACCATGCGAGGTGAACAAAATCCGCATTAAAATCACTTCAAATATTGTACAACTGCACAAGTCACACGACAAGAGAAACAATATTATTTGCTTGATTGTATTTAAAAATAAACAATCCATATTTTCACGACATTTTAGAGAAATACCATAATTAGTGCAGAAAATTTCCAGTTCGTTATATTATAAATTCGTCCGTTTGTTTATATTCGCATAAATTATATATTATTTAATTACTATTTTCCATATTTCACGCTGACAATACGTCAGACTCCGTGTTTTCCATATGACTCCGTGTTTTCCATATTTTTCTCTGACGTCAGACTCCGTGTTTTCCATATGACTCCGTGTTTTCCATATTTTTCTCTGACGTCAGACTCCGTGTTTTCCATATGACTCCATGTTTTCCATATTTTTATGACGTCAGACTCCGTGTTTTCCATATGACTCCATGTTTTCCATATTTTTATGACGTCAGACTCCGTGTTTTCCATATGACTCCGTGTTTTCCATATTTTTATGACGTCAGACTCCGAGACTCCGGCACTCCGACTCCGGGGCTCCGACTCCGGAACTCCGACTCCGTGTTTTCCATCTAACCTTTCTTTCGGCCAGGGGTTTTCCCCGAGATTAATTCGTACATTCTATAAAACGAAACTTAATTTATATAACAGTTTAAAGGAGCAGTGTCACCGTTTGCGCATCTTTGCTGCGCATAAACAAAACATTTCGGAAATGGCCGGAACCATTCGGCGCAAGTACACAAGCTTCGCTCCTTTGATCGTGAATGAAAAATCAAAATGGTGAGTAAAAATTTGCATTTATTTGCATACAATACATAGATGGAAAATGTTGAATTGATCATTCCCACAATTTGCATAGGAAAGCCACTGTGATTGTAAAAGTTCTTGCAGTGTAAAAAGGAAAGAGAATGGAACTCGAGGTTGTCGTTGCAAAGGGCGAAATGTCGAATGTTCGGATAAATGCCGGTGTGGTACTCGCGATAAACCTTGCAAGAATAGAGTAAGTATGTCAATATATTAATTTAAACATTAAAATGATAAATCGAAAGCATGAATTTAACAATTGCTTTTATGATTTTCGTCTAGGCAATGACAGAAAACATGGGAAGGGAAAGAGACAACAGGAGTGAAAAAGCTACGGATACTCGTGCAAAACAAGGCAAAGAAAAAGGCTTTCGTCTTAGTTCTAAACCAACCGAGTCAGAGGAGACACAGAGGGAAAAGGAGCACAAAGATGTCAAGGTATAGCGCATACTTGAATTTGTTGAATACGTTTTAAATGAAGCCCTTTTTGCATGTTTGGTAAACTTTGTTTACGTTTTTGGCAGGCAAAAACTACCTAGAATGTATTGTATTGTATTCTTACTCTGCTAATGCAGCATTGCTCTCGTTCGTGCTTATTTGACTACCAAAAAAAGTAAACAAGGTTAACTTATAGGGTCTGTAATAGAGATTTTTCAATATATTGAAATACTGTATACAGATACAGTTTACAGTAAGGTACTGTACGTACAGGTACTTGGTTATAGTGCATTTGAAAGGATTTATAGTTTCACTTTGGGTTCACAAGTAAAAGTAAATTTATTCTCATTGTTGAACTTATGAACATGAATTTAACCTATTCTTGGTTTTCAACTATTCCCAGGAGAGACAATTGAACAAAAGACATGACAGCCATGCTGGTCGTCTTGATAAAAGAAACCACAGTCACTGGTGGACATTTTGTCCATTTGTCTCTCCTGTGAATAGTTGAAAGCCAAGAATATATTATTTTATATAGGCTACAAATACATTTGTACAATTTTAGGATTTTATTGCAACCTTAGATGAGGCCATGGTAAAAAAACTAGCTATAAGAAGCTTGCGAAGAGGGATCGGTAGTATGGACTACATAGAAACATTGCTCATAATGGAGGATGATCTTGATGAGGATGAAAATTTTGGTGAGTTTGGTCAAGCATCAACTGAGCAACCAACTGGTTCAGCATTGGCAGACAGTGAAACAAAGAACAAAGGTCCTGCTCCTTCTGACACACGTAACCCAGATCAGATAGATGATTCAGCATCAGGTTCTGTTCCAGATTGGTGTGTTTGTGGCAGATGTCATCCCATGACACAAGATGTCGAGAATAAATGTTGCAAACTTAAAAAATGCATAACGCTTTCTTCCCGATTCGCGAAATTGTGTCTGGATCCTGATGTGATAGAGTTGTGCATAAGAAACACAGGGGATATAAGAAACGATAGAGAAGAGAACAGCAGCAGAGCTTTTCGAAAAGCAGCCTATAGGCAATTTATTCTTGCACGCCATGGGCATCTTGGTAAAGGAAACAGACGAGTCTGCCCTTCATGTGTAGTAATGAAAATAAGGGAACGGTGGCCATCCATTACTGGAGTTTACATGGGGTATAGGGAAAACTAAGTACAGTAAACTATGTACCTTAACATAATGTGTTGCATGGACATTGCATACAGGGCTGAAGGAAGATGATAAAAATAAGGCAGGCTCAACAGCGATTTTTATTTTCCACTCTTTCCAGGGGTTAGATTTACCTAGATTGATCTGTATTATGCAAACTCAAAACATGTGCAACTGTGCATTCATTTCGAGATTCACTTAGAAATTAGAATTTTCAGGGGGCCCTGCCCCCCATGGTTCCTACGGCCATGATTGCATCATTTGGTGTTACAGTGTATATTAAATCTATTGACTCAGTGGCACTCTGCTGAAATGCACCAACTTATAAATCCAAACTTTTGAACCCAATTCTTCTGAGTGCATATAACAAGTTAGTGCATTGGTACGGTACAATATACATAATGGTTAATATTTAGTTCATATTTAGAGCTGTGATTATTTATTTAAATTTGCACTGATAACAAAAAAATAGATAATTAATTGTGTACATTAAATTTTAGAAGCACAGCAAATTGCCTCAAAATATTTACATTAATTAGTCACTGCATTTTGAAATGGCAGCAATTACTGACATCAATCTTCAATATTTATTGTTTTGCAAATCTGCTTCTTCTTGTAATGATTTCTTTAGTGGTTGGTGGTGGAACATGTGCAATAGTTGGCGATATAAGGGCCGGGTCGCTCTTGTTCAGATCAACGACTGTTGTAACAAAATCTGTGTCCATAGCTCTTCTCCTCATCATGTGGGAAATAAGCACTGGGATGTATGCATATCTTTTTGCTTGCTTCACCTTCTTAATATCCCACTGCCGGGTTCTCTGGTTGTATTTTCGGGTGACAACGTTATTACCAGACTTGGATGTTTTCTGTGGGAGGTCAACATGAAAATTCCAATCAATAGCAGTGAGTTGCCGTCTTGCTTTGTAAGTTTGATAACTAAAATTAAATTAATCAGTCATTATTAATGCCCAATGGGGGGCTACGAAAAAGTTTTAAGGTGTAAAAGGGGGGCACAAACATATTTTCAGCATGAATGGGGGGGGGGTGGCTATGAAATATATATTCTCACTAGAGAAGGGGGGGGGTGTCATAAAAAATTTAAAATATTTCTTAAAAAAATAAGGGGTTGTAACATTTTTTTTTTGTATTTTGAAAATTTGTGTTGGTGTTTTATATTCAGGTGAATATGATATATTGATGTTGACTGGGCACAGCAGATCGCAGGTTCAATTCTCACCATGGCCAGGTTTTCAGCCTGCTTGGCATGGACACTTGGAGTACCATCAATGTGTCATATTCATACTTGCTAAAAACTTACTTGAAGGGAGTTCTCTTTGGAGTGTATACCAAACCAAGACTGTTGACACACTCAATACTACCAGTATGCCTAAAGCAGATGAAAAATTTAAAAAAATGCCTATATAATTCAACATTGTCTTTGAGACATGTATTGTAACAACCAGGCAGGGACGTAGCTATGGGGGTGCCCCCCCCCCAAATGCAGTGTCCATCGGCACAATAAACAGGAACAATTTTTTCGGGGGAAGAGGTACCTAAATACCCAGTATTGTAAATAGGGCTAAAAGCCACCTTTATGTTAGGTCTTTCTGAAAAATATTTGGGCAGAGGGGGGAGGTCATTGGAAAATTTTGAAATTCTGTTGGAAATTTCGGGCTGGCAGCACCCCCCCCCCCCAATCACGGGATATTCGCAACGTCACACCTGCAACTAGGGCTTGTGACAAGACACTTTTACTTTACCTGAAACGAGTATAATACTTGAAACTGTTAAGTAGTTGAGGGTTTAAAATAACTTTTTGTAACTCCATAAAGTCTTTATCTCGACGATCAAAAAAGGGAAGACTTTTGTCATGGCTATCATCACCATCTGTATCAACATGGTCACATTGTCCCCCTAACCATTGGTGGTCATTGCATATATGGTGTAATAAACCAATCCATTTATCCTAAGTGAAATAATAAAAACTATAAGGCATCCATTTCGAATACATACCTTTGCCAAAGCACAAATTTAATTTGTAAAATTTGTTTACATCATGCATGCCGATTTACTCTGCTGATCCAAACTGAACCAAAATTTAATCAGTTCCTCATTAGTACATGTGTAATCCTTCAACAAACTTTCATGAAAATCTGTTCACTACTTTGCTTACAGACAAACAAATAAACAGGGGGAACATAATCTCGTGGCAATAATAACCAGCCCTGTGTTTGAGCATTGCGAGGGATTATCACCAGATACTTTACCTTTATAAGTCTTAGTGCTTCTTCATCTGTGGTGGTTTCATCTTTACAACATGCACTAGAGCAATACCAGAAATGTCTGATGATGTGAGGAGACCAGTCTTTTATCTTCTGCATTGCTTTTGGTTTGCTCAACTAAAATGCACATCACACTAAGTACAGTACGGATAATGTACAAAATGGTAATAATAATTGTATTTTGCGGTGATTTTTTACATTTATCTGACAGCCATCAGCCATGCAATTCCAATATGCCCGTGTGTGACGTATTGCAACATACTAACCTTTGTCAGACATTTTTTAATACTTTTTGACTTGTGCCACACATCCAAACTGTATGTTATGTCTTTATATTCTGATTCTAAAAGTGAAAATGTTGATTTATCAAGGAAACACAAAGAAAAGCAGGCATATAGCCGGGGGGGGGGATTTGGGGGTGGGGGCAGACTACACACCTGAAGGAAATTAATAACCATGATATGCATATAATGTTCCAAAACATATAAAAACATTATCTGAATCATGACGATTGTAAAAAAAATTATATTTAAAAATACCCATTAATGCTTTTACAGAAGTGGAGGCATCAGTCACCAGCTCGGCCACTTTAATTTCCGTAGTAAGACGATTCAGACTTCGCCGCACTGCCTCTTTCTCCATGTTTGTCGAAATTAGACCAACATGCCTCTTATCCAATACTTCAATGTCAAGAATGTAATTTGATTCTGCTTCCATCATGAAGTAGCAAAGATTCTTGGCATTGAAGCCTGGAGAGTCACATTGGCCATCACCACCAAGAACAATATCTTTCCCTGAGAACTCCTTGATCAATTCACCCCTCATCAAAGCCCACCACTCATTTACTTCAGGGATCAAATACAGGCGCTGCAATCTATAGTATGTTGACTTGGACAGAAATTCCAATTTTAGAAAATTTGCCATGCGCTCTACTTTGCAAAAATTGCTTCCAGATAGAATGACTGAGGCGGCCGCCTGTAGGTTGTTGGCATAGATGTCATTTACTAAGTGAGAGGAGCAAAACCTATATTTATGCCCGGATGGACATTGGCAATTCACAATCACTGTTACACCCACAAAGCTATGTTTTACAGTGGGTAAAGCAGTGCACCCAGGAGTATGGCATCTTGCTTGAAATACTGCAAGAAGAATATCCAGAGAGCAAACAAATTTTTGTTCTTTCACCATACTGAATTCTTCTTCCAAATCATACACATCATCCCCTCGGCTGAATTTCCGATGAGGTCCATAACTAACTGCAGGAGTGCTGATCGAGTGCTGTGAATAATCTTCCCGATGTTCATCGTCCTGATGTTCATCAGATGGCTCATGACCCAAATCAAGATCAGATGAATCAGAGTCCTCATCACTACTTGAACTTATGGAACTAAAAATAACAAAATATAGTGCTGTATAAATAATAGATAGTATATTACAAATAAAGAATAAAGATCCCTTTTCAGTTTGCTTCTGTTTATTAGGCTTCAATATAACTAGAATCAGGATTGGACCTTTAATTAACCATTCATTAATTTATAAATTTTTGCCAGGTTTGTAGTTTATCTATAGGGTTTTTGACATGGTTTGTGTGAAATTTGATGTCAGATAACTTCCCTGAGTGGTCAAAATTTCTAGAGAGGCAGCATGAAATCTTTTCTGTTCTCAGGCACAGTAGCAACAACAGACTAATCTTCCACTGCCCAGAGTCAAAATAACACATCCCACACATACTCCCACATCGCTTCAAACAGATAACATACTCTGAATAACTTTGCTTCTCTGCATTCAAATCTTCGAGAGCTGATTTGGTAAGATCATGTATGCTGTAAGGGACAATGATGTTTATGACTCAATTAGTTCCATTCTTGTAAAAGTATTTATGACCTGACATATTTTACCTGATATATCTGGCAGCATCTTCCAGACTGCCATCACTGACATCATCCTCATCATCCGTGAACATGGACACATTTATTGCATTGGTTATAGTAGAACTAGATATAAATAATTTGAGATACAACAAATATATTGTTGCTACGCACATTCACAATTCCATAATAAACTACAAATATTACTTTACAATCAGTACCTGTCAAGAAGGGTTGCATCAGACCGAGCAAAGCTTGTATTCGCATCAATTGTTGCAATGGTATTATCCTCAACTTCATCTCCAATAACAGGGGATTCAGATGGAGAAGGAAGCTGTAGGCTTTCTCCAGTTTTTAACGACGTGGATGTTTCTTGGCCTTAAAGAAATTGTAATCCATTGTAATCGGCCATGTTCAATGCATTACATCCATTCATTGAACT